GCTGCTTTTCCATTTCCAATGTCTAGTTATCATGCATGTGGTAGATTAGGTTATTATTTTCTTTTCCGTGATTATTAAATAAAAATAGTTTTGCTATAATTTTAGCAAAACATTTTTATTATTCGATTTTTGTAAGTGAAGATACGCAGCCTCTTCTGCCACATTGTCTTTACTTTTGGGAATAGTTCTCTAAAAATGTTACAATTTCATTTTTGTTTAGAATCTGGAGCAAGGCGCAGGTGGTTGGGTGGACTGGAACATGGTCCTGGATGAGGAAGGTGGCCCCACTTATATCGACAACTATGTCGATTCTCCAATTATAGTCAACGCAACCTTGCAGGAGTTTTACAAACAGCCAATGTTCTACGCTCTGGGACATTTCTCAAAGTTTGCAGTTGCCGACTCCGTTAGATTGGAAACCGCTGTGGAAGACTTGGACGATATGAGAGCAATGGCATTCTTGAGACCAGACAATTTAATAGCATTAATTATATCTAACAGGTGAGCTTGAAAGTCTGCAATCTGATATGCTCTATATAATACAGGATATTACAGAAGAGTAGGTCAAGCAGTTATATTATAGACTATTCGGGAGAAAATTACATAACTTTCCTTCAGATGTGTCTTTTTGAAGATGTAAGTTTTTGATTTATAATTAAAAAATATTTTATTTCGTAACTCCTTGTTTCATAAAGCATTTAGTTGTAATTTTAGATAAAAAATTGAATAGTTGGATTGCAACTATTTCAATATTATTAATTTGAAAAAGCCGACAGAATCAAAGATTTTGGTTAATTCACGAAAAGATGGTTTTAGATTGTAACTAAAAATAGGATTAAAATATATTATAATTAAACCTAGTCATATAAAAATTGTTACGAGTGTATTATTTAAATTAAGTACTGAATCCGCGAATGCAAATTTGCAAAAAAAATATGTTGGAACAGTTGAGATTTTAACCATGTACTAATATTCGTTTTCACAATTATGAAACATGCCATATATTTTTTGCTAACAACAATAAAAAAAATGAAACACATCACATGTTTAAAGAAGTTGCAATATCTGTCAAATAAATGGAAATTTTATAAGCGTGGAATAAAAAACAAAATAAATCAAGGTATATTCTAAAAAGCGATTAATACAAACCATGGACATGTGCAAAAAAATAGGGGAATATATTACACTATATACGAACATTTTTTTCTAAATATATGTCATACATATCTTAGACTGTTTTTGTTAATGCGGTTACATGTGCCAGAAATATGTATTTATCAGACCCATTTCTTATCGTGTAGATGGTGCATATACAGGTATATTAGAAACCATGTTTTTAGACAAACGGAATACCATTTGGACTATTCGATATGTAATAGTTCGATGAGGGGACGGTAAATTTAAACACAAAAGAAACGAATTTATCTGAATGTACGAACAACATTCAACACCTCAAGCAACTCCAGCCGTATACTGCTTTCTGCATTTAAAAGAAAAGTGAAAAATGTGCACAAGTGGGTGACATGTGGACATTTAATAGATATGTATGCATATCGCGTGTAAAACATTTAAGAGTATTTTGGAGATATAGTCATGTAATTTGTCATATTTACACATCTGTGCATCATGTGTGACATAACTATGAGCTATAGATTTTGTCCTAATAACCTGCAAATAATCCAAACATTTATGTGACCGCATCATCTGGAGTCGGCTTCATAAAAATATATATTTTTTGGAATAGTATTAAAACGTAATTTACTTGGGATTCTTAGTAAAGATACAAGGAAATCGATTACACCAGTTAAATTTATTATAGCTGATCGTTTCAAGCTTGCAAGTTGCAAAGTTGTTTGGAAACTAATCTAATAGATTAATAGAACCCTAAGATATAATAGTATTTTGGAACAAATGTTGTGTTATTCCTAATACGTTATTTAGGGACAGCTGTGAATATTAGCACTAAGTACGAGAAATATTTATAAAAAAAAATACAAAGACGACTGAATGAAGGTAAAGGACAGGTAAAAATTAATTATTATCAGAACGTCAGCAACGAAATTTGTGTTTGTGTTTTGAGTGCAACTAAACTAGATTTTTTTATTTTTATTTTATTATTTTTATTTTGACTTTTATTATATTTATATACTTTCCACCACAAAATTTCAACTAAATTTCACCATTATAGTCCACAGTTTGGATAAAAACTTACCTAATGTTTGTTTTGACTATGTTAAAATAACTTGTTAACTTGTTCACTATGCAGTTATTCATAAAAATACAATACACATTTTGACAACTAAATTAAAGTGTCTGAAAAATTACACCAAACTGATTACCTATGAATATCAATTAATTTTTGAAAACAAAATTTTCTGCGAATATAAATTTAAAATCACATAAAAAATTACGGTGATAAAATCGAACTGTAAAAAAAATATTTAGCATTTTTGAATTTCAAAATTACTACCACTGAGATATGAATAAAAATGTACCCTTTTATTCTGTATGGACACTCAAGGCCTTGTTACGGGTGGTCCAAGAGCGACCCTCGGCATCGTTGACCTTTTCTCGGGCTCTCTGTAGGTCTCGCGAAATGCCTACAATTCGTTCTTGACAAGAATATGGGTTTGCGGCTCTTGGTCAATAGGCCAGGAAATATTAGAGTTGGACGAGACTTTTTATTTCGGCAAGCTGAATTTATCACTATAGATGCTAAATATTATGTACAATATCATATTACACAGTCATAAAAATGGAGAGAAGAATGTTTTACAAGGTGGTTAATTGTATAATTTTTAGGCAAATTCAGGTTTTTCGCTTATAACTTTTTGCCGTTCATTTCCACGAGAAAACAGTAAACTATTCTTTCTTTCGTCTTCAAAAGACCTACAAAACTAGCCCTCGAACGTCAAAAAATATAGATTAGATCAAAAGTTATAAACAGAAGAAGTTTATTTATGACTTTTGAATAATTAAACATTTATAAACTGCGTTATTATTACCAGAACGCTTTGGCATCGCATCCTCTCATTCCTTATCACTGTCTAATAACTCACACGAAATCTGGAATCGGTAAGGTGAATAGTTTACAAGTTATGGCCTTACAAATAAATTAACTAATTTATTAGTCTGGACGATCCCGAGCATCTTCCACAATCGCACTGATTTTTTTCATGGTAGATTTCATAATAATAGGTACATTGAAATCTATCATTTTTTTTTAATTTCAAATTTGCAACCTGGATTTTTTTTTTATTTTTTAGCCTTAATTGCAAAATGAAAAATACGACGCAGTTACATTATTCGTAAAGCTTATGAAAAGAGCTTTAAGTTAAAAAAAAATCGTTAAGATTCGTTGAAAAATAACGGAGTTACAAATTGTCAAAGTTGACGGCCTATTGTTAAACAAATTAGGTTGGTAGCGGCAAAAAAAATACTGGCATAACCGGCAACCCGAGTACTTTCAGAGATAAAAATATTTTATTTGTGGAAGTATCTTAAGTGCATAAGAAATATTGTCAAATGTCAATGGGTCGCTTGATTTTTCGGCGAGCTGTAGCGCAGCGGAAGGGTGGGGGAAGTGAACGACAGCGAGTTCGAAGAAAATGACGATAATATTCACAGCCATGGCGTTAAAAAAGTGAAATTCGCTTGAAAATAATATATTTGACAGTGTGTAACTCCGTTGTTTTTCAACGAATCGTGGCGATTTTATTTAACTTAAAGCTCTTTTCATAACCTTTAAGAATATATAATAATATATAACTATATCACGCGCGTGCGTCGTATATTTCATTTTGCAACTAAGGCTAAAAAATAATATATTTCAATGTATTATTATGAAATATACCATGAACAAAATCGCTGCGACTGTGGAAGATGCTCGGGATCGTCCAGACTAATAATTAGTTAATTTGTTTGTAAGGCCATAACTTGTAAACTATTCACCTTACCGATTCCAGATTTCGTGTGAGTTATTAGACAGTGATAAGGAATGAGAGGATGCGATGCCAAAACGTTCTGGTAATAATAACGCAGTTTATAAATGTTTAATTCAAAAGTCATAAATAAACTTCTTCTATTTATAACTTTTGATCTAATCAATTTTTTTTGACGCTCGAGGGCTAGTTTTGTAGGTCTTTTGAAGACGAAAAAAAAGTACATGACTTATTTTCTCGTGGAAATGAACGGAAAAAAGTTATAAGCGAAAAACGCGAATTTACTTCAAAATTATACAATTAACCACCCTGTAAACAATCTTCCCCCCATTTTTATGACTGTGAACACTAATATGTTATTGTACATAATATTTAGTATCCATAGTGATAAATTCAGTTTGCCGAAACAAAAAGTCGCGAAATGGTCATTTTCCAGCTCTTTTTCCTGTCCTAAAGAAGGAGTGGCAGAAAAAGAGAGAAGCGTGATCTGTGCTAGCTTGTACATGTGTTTCTCAGAAATCGATATTTAGCATGCAAACTTTTTGAGCGCTCCTCGCAGCACTGGGTGATTTCTTGAAATAAGGACTTTTGATATTATTTTTACCCAGGAGTTAGTGTTAAGATAGTCTTTAATTTTCTGGAAAGAATTTTTGCTTAAATATTGATTTCAATTACAGGAAAGATATGTGTACGGAATAAATTGTATGCAGGTGAATTTTGTTCTGAAAATTGCTATACTGACCAGAAAAATATTAAATAATACCTAAACTAATTCTGGCGTAATGGAACAGCATTTGGCGGCTATAGATTCCCTTGAGTCTATATAAAATTATTGCAATCTATAATTTAAAGACCAATGCCGAATTTCATTTGAATCTGATTAATCGTATTCGAGTTATTTAAAAAATGTATATTTGACAGTTATGTATCATTCTGTAACATTTGTGTTGACTATTTTCGAACTAATGCTCATAGGAAACTTTTTGCATAAGGTATAATTTTTTGGTTTAGTTTGGCAGCATATTTTGGAAAATTACAAATTTACCGTTTTTGTTATAGTGGCAGCGAGAAGACTAGTGTCCGCATACAGAATAGCCAAGGACAGACCGCTGCCATACAAATAGAAGCTAACTCTATCAACACGGTGTTGTACAGTTAGATGGTGGTAATTGAAATGTAGCATAGTGTAATAAGTGTAATACGGTGAAAAATAATAATGCAACGAAATAAAAATATTTAAAAAAGTAAATTGTGTTTTTTTTTTCTTAACAACCTTACTTGATCGTCCCACCTTTATTTTTTTAACTCAATAAATATTGTTTTTAAAACAAACGGAATATTATCCAGTAAATATATTCTTATTTAGTCTGGCTCTCCATTATTTATTGTTCTTTATATCATTTGTTTAATTCACTGTTGTTTATCTCATTTGATTCGTTAAACATACTAAGATATAAAATAACTAATTATAACTTAAGCGTTATTTGATATTAAATAATATATATTTTTTTAGAAAAAATACAATAAATACTTTTACATGATACGGGAAACAATTAGGTACTTTAAGGGAGTTCCTAATAGAATATTATTTAGGGAATTCAGAATAGCCTTGATATTAAAAATATATTATCCTATAGATTATTTCAAACAGTAAAAATACATTCCGTTGTACTTGAGAACTCAAGTAGGTAAGTATTGAATTTACCCTGTAGCCAGGGGGGTCCCAATTATCTCCTTCATTTAGATGGCGTTACCCAAGTGTTTTTTATGTATTTTTGAGCTGCAGAACACGAATTTTTTGGGTAGAAGTTTGCCCGGATGTCGATAAGTTTTTTATTAACAAAAAACTTGCAATATACTGAGAACTTAGTTTTTGTCAAAATAAAAAGTATTTTCTTGTTATNCAGAAAAATATTAAATAATACCTAAACTAATTCTGGCGTAATGGAACAGCATTTGGCGGCTATAGATTCCCTTGAGTCTATATAAAATTATTGCAATCTATAATTTAAAGACCAATGCCGAATTTCATTTGAATCTGATTAATCGTATTCGAGTTATTTAAAAAATGTATATTTGACAGTTATGTATCATTCTGTAACATTTGTGTTGACTATTTTCGAACTAATGCTTATAGGAAACTTTTTGCATAAGGTATAATTTTTTGGTTTAGTTTGGCAGCATATTTTGGAAAATTACAAATTTACCGTTTTTGTTATAGTGGCAGCGAGAAGACTAGTGTCCGCATACAGAATAGCCAAGGACAGACCGCTGCCATACAAATAGAAGCTAACTCTATCAACACGGTGTTGTACAGTTAGATGGTGGTAATTGAAATGTAGCATAGTGTAATAAGTGTAATACGGTGAAAAATAATAATGCAACGAAATAAAAATATTTAAAAAAGTAAATTGTGTTTTTTTTTTCTTAACAACCTTACTTGATCGTCCCACCTTTATTTTTTTAACTCAATAAATATTGTTTTTAAAACAAACGGAATATTATCCAGTAAATATATTCTTATTTAGTCTGGCTCTCCATTATTTATTGTTCTTTATATCATTTGTTTAATTCACTGTTGTTTATCTCATTTGATTCGTTAAACATACTAAGATATAAAATAACTAATTATAACTTAAGCGTTATTTGATATTAAATAATATATATTTTTTTAGAAAAAATACAATAAATACTTTTACATGATACGGGAAACAATTAGGTACTTTAAGGGAGTTCCTAATAGAATATTATTTAGGGAATTCAGAATAGCCTTGATATTAAAAATATATTATCCTATAGATTATTTCAAACAGTAAAAATACATTCCGTTGTACTTGAGAACTCAAGTAGGTAAGTATTGAATTTACCCTGTAGCCAGGGGGGTCCCAATTATCTCCTTCATTTAGATGGCGTTACCCAAGTGTTTTTTATGTATTTTTGAGCTGCAGAACACGAATTTTTTGGGTAGAAGTTTGCCCGGATGTCGATAAGTTTTTTATTAACAAAAAACTTGCAATATACTGAGAACTTAGTTTTTGTCAAAATAAAAAGTATTTTCTTGTTATATGGCCCATTTTAAGAAGAAAATACCTCTTGCATTTTTTTTTGTTAAACGCATAGTTTTCGAGATAAACGCCGTTAAAAACTCGAAAAATGCAATTTTTGCGATTTTCAATTGATAATAAATTTTGGTTGAATAGGTATTTTGTAATTCTGCTGACGGCGTTTGAAAGTTCACGTTAAATACTACAAATTATGAGTAATTGCAGTGTGAAAATTTGTTTTTTTCTACTGTTATTTGAAGCTATAAGCAAATAGCGATTGAGCGTTCAGAAGGGTGCGCCGCCATGTAGGTATGTAAGAGAGCGGTTGCCTTCTTAAAGGCGTTTAATACACGATCTTGACGGGTACTCTTTATTTCTAGACCAAAGAAACGATGAAAACTGAACGAAACATTAACAATTTAATGAAAATTTGCAATATAATGAGTCAGAAGTGTCGGCAAAAACATTAAGGCTTAAAGGCTTAGTTGAAAGCATCAAGGGAATCCTGCCATCGGGGTGTCCCAGGTTGGAAATAACAACAAGATAAATTTCGTTGCCCACATTTCTAGTAATTTACTTCGCGTTCGTTGAGATTTGCGTGATGGAGGAGGCGTCCGAATTTCACGTTTGCCCCATTGCCAGCGAGCATGAGATGATAGTCCCAGCACAGCAGGTCATACATGGGCATCTCGATAAAAATGCCGGTACTCTTCGTATTATGGGTAATTTCCGAGTTAATGATTGAATAACACAACAATATCAATACCTTAACGTTAGTTTTAAAGGTAAAATAGTACAGCTTAAAATTATTTCCAATGTTACTTAAAAAGTGATAATGCTTAAAATATTTGTAAAGAATAGGCGAGTTGATTTTTATTTTATTCTGCTATATTCAACAGCTATTATTGCTGGTAAATTCTACAGAGTACTTGTTTCAATAAATATAATCAGTTACAAGAGCTGATAACAAAACACGTAGGTTTTTAAAACGAAATTTAGTAAACTTAAAAGCTTCAAAATGCTTTCTTTAAAAGCTTTGTTTTTTTTTATAAGTGTGTGCAATTAACATTCCTATATAGAAAAATATTATGATCTATGATCTAAGTGGCTCTTGATTATAACAATTAATCTTTAGTTATTTAATTTGCCTCATTCAGCATAAGTGTCTGATTATAGATAAACAAAATAATTTATATTTAAAGCTTGAAAAAAATTGTATTAAAACAGTGTCTATACGGCTTTGCACATGTGGAACATACCAGTCAGTAACGAAAATGGCTGTTTCACTGTTAATACTGTCCATACTTGTAACATCAGTTCTCAGTCAAAGCTGTAACATTAGAGATACAGACGAGGGAAGTGTCTGCGTCTGCAACGCAAAACACTGTGACACTGTTCCAGATTTGGATGTATCTACTGGAAAATATCAAGTGTATTCTACCAGCAAGGCCAAATTAGGATTCTACAGTACCACCGGATCTTTCGTCGAAAATACTGATGGAGAAGAAAGCTCCATCATTGTTGATCAAGACACAAAGCATCAACATATCATCGGATTTGGTGGGGCTTTCTCAGACTCTTCAGGTATCAACATAAAGGGACTACCAGAAGGGGCTCAAAATAAGTTAATAGAAAGCTATTTTGGTAGTAGCGGTATCGCATATAGTTTGTGCAGGGTTCCCATTGGTGGAACTGACTTTTCAATAAGAGGATATTCTTATGATGATGTGGAGGGGGACGACACGTTGGAACATTTTGCGCTTCAGCAGGATGATTTAGATTATAAGGTACGTTATTCTATTACTTAGATATGATCAACAAGCACACATAGTGACACTTAATTCCAAGACAAAAATACTGCCATTGTATAATAAATGCCTTATATAAATTACATCAATGTTATATATCCTTCAAAACCATGAAATCAACTTGTATTTAATTTTGTAAAGGGTGTTAAAAAAGAGCAAACATTTTTAAAAGTAAAGACTACTTATTCCAAAGCAATTTTTAAAAATTCATGTAAGCATACGCCCGGAAAAGTTTCGTTACCGAAATGGAGCTTTTGTGAAAAGCAACTGTTTTTGTTTATATCTTCCAAACAGTTTTACCAAAGCAATTCAAGTATGAGGTATTACCTAATATTTGATTTGAACATAATGATAAATGAGATAAATTCAGGATGTGGAAGTATTCTTTAAAAAATTATTTTTGTTTATATCTTCAAAGAAATCAATTCAGATTTGGTGCAGAGCAATACCTAATAAGTATACATAATTCGATTATGATGATAATTAAGATAATTCGGGAACGGAGATTAATTTCTGGAAGGGTAGGGTAAATTGAATAAAAAAGGTATTTTTGTGTCTTTTCGGTAAAACCCTTCTTGACGGTTAATTCTCAACACAAAATTTGACTTCCTATTTTTAATAAAACCGGAAAAGTATAAGTATAATCCTATAAATTCAGAGTTAATTCTTTATTGTGCATGTTGTTGATGAATTTATGGATAAAAATATTTTTATTGTTGTACTATGTAAGGAGAAAGTTCCAGTAGATACAATATTACTGATAAAGCAATTTGCACTTTGTTTTATTTGTGTTGTAAAATTATATAATAACACATGTATAGTACCACTGTAACCAGTTAGTGTAGAAATGACACACATTCAATTTACGAGGGTAGTCTGAAAAGTTTCCGACCTAACAAAGATACAAGACATTTTTTCTGATTTTTTTTTTTATTTTTCAACGTAGTCTCCTTGTAACTCTACACACTTCTCCCAGCGATGCTCCCATCTCTGTAACCCGTCCAAATAGTACTCGGCGTTTTTCTCTGCAAAATAATTGTTCACGAAAGTGATTGCCTCTTCATTTGACGAAAATCTCTGTCCTCCGAGCGCAATTTATAGATGAGGGAACAAAAAGAAGTCGCTTGGGGCTAGATCTGGTGAGTAAGGCGGATGGTCAAGCAGTTCAAGCGTGGATTTTCGCCATGGCAACCGCTGAAGTGTCAGACGGTGTCTTGGTGAAACACGATTTTCTTTTTCTGCAAATGTGGCCGTTTTTCCGCAAGTTCTGCCTTCAGCTTGTCAAGTAATGATGCGTAGTATGTCCTGTAATGGTTTTTCTTTTTTGAAGATAATCGATTAAAATAACTCCATGACTATCCCAAAAAACAGTCGCCATCACTTTCCTAGCCGAAAAA